CAAGAGTGTCCTATAAGAGTGTCCCACAAGAGTGTCCCACAAGAGTGTCCCACAAGAGTGTCCTAGAAGAGTGTCCCACAAGAGTGTCCCACAAGAGTTTCCTACAAGAGTGGCCCACAAGAGTGTGCTACAAGAGTGTCCTACAGAGTGTCCCGCAAGAGTGTCCTACAAGAGTGTCCTTTGGACATATTAGTTTTTCGATCGTGTTTGCATTCGGGTTCGTGGGTTCCATCTTGTTTTTTTAAAAGGATTTTGGCCCTGTGTGTGTTGAGTTCAACTTCATAACTCCATTGCCCATGGAGTTTTGTATTATTCATGTATATGCTTATCTCCAAGAACTGCACTCGAGGCTGAAAACCTGCGGGTGTCCAAGCACCCATTCTGAAGAGAAAACTCCTCATGGATTCATGGATGTGGATAAGAACATGGATAAGACGTATTGAGAAGTATTGCATGGTATGTTTTTAATCTGTTCAAAAGCAACAGTGGGTGAATGCAACTGAATGAAACTGGCCTTGGTAGGAGATTGGCCCTGACACATTTGGATCCCAAGAAAGGGGGTGCCGCAATGGACCCCATGGTTCCAGCATGTTCCAGCCATAATTTACAAAAGGGAAGAAAAGTTGCATTCCTTGAGCGGCTCGGCTTGTTAAAGAGACAATGCAACTGCGCTAGCTGCAAGGATGAAATGTAAATTGTGTGACATATATTCAATGCAGTTTTCTAGTTATAACTAGTTTACCATGTGCTTTCAACAGCTGCACAATGTTTAACAAACTTCCCGTTCAAACATCCGCAAAGAATGGGGATGCTTGGACTGGTGACTATAGAGTGGGTTATTATCATGGGCTATCCACCAGTAACCTCCATTTCCTTAGGAGGATGGAACATACATCGAAGCAGACTTTACAACAAAAACCGTGCAGCATTGCGCAGCATCAGTAGACTCACAGACGGAACTGCCAAGTTCATGATGTCCAAAGGAAACACAAACGGTTGGTGTTTTTGTGTGTTGGGACATATAACAGTTTGGACAGTATGCATTTGTCCATCGAAGGGTGTTTCATGTTTAAAGGCTTGGTGACAAACAATGAGGACATCTCCGACCGGGTTGCCCCCAAACGGGGAGAAACAAACATTTAAAACATTTAAGCATAACGACACCAATTCCACTGCCCTGAGTCTGGCCGCGCAAGGACTTCACAATTGTCCTTTTGGGCGCTGTGGAGCAGTGGCTGTTGCCCTTGTCGTTGCACTTCCTCCACGCAACCGGCCTCACTCAGGAGGGGGCGTTCAGGTTATTCTTCGGGTGGCCAGTTCGGTTTGGTCTTTCCGGAGTGACTCGGGGTAGGTGGAGATCGGGTAGGCCAGGACGAAGCCACTTCAGGCCCTAGCAACTTGACCAGGGAGTCGTCCTGTCGTAGTCATTCGGATCGTTCAGGCTGCGTTCAGGCCGCTTGCAGGTTGCACGGTCAGTGAAGCAATGTCTTTGGACAGTGCACAGCTGTGCACAGCGCTTCAGCTTGGACATAGCCACACAAGTCGGCACAAATTGCCCTCAAGTTGGGCTGCTATTTCATCAGGTCAGGGGGGGGTTCAATCAGTTGGTTTTGGGACCTTGCAGACCTTTGATTCTTTTCCTTGGATTGTTTCGAACGTTTTGACACTCTGCGGCAGAGAAGCGAGAACAGCATTCCCAAACTCAGCAAGCAAGGCATACATACCCTTTTCAATCTTTTCAAATCAATAAAGGAAGAGTTGAGTCCCATACGGCGGGCTCAAACATGTCAATGCTCTGAAGCACGTTTTGTTTAGGCGAGTGTTGACAAGGGTTTAGACTAATCCTGCTTAGATGATTCCCTTCAGGTGCCTACAAAAAGCAGCAATCCACAGACCACGGAGGATCTTTCGAAACTCAGAGCTTCCGTGAACTCCGGGCTAGTTAGTTAGTAGCCACTCCGCACCTCGTGCAATGCTCGCCAGGAGCGTTTGAAGGTGAATCGCACGACCACCAATCTCCTCCGCCTTTTGCGTCTCCTGCGGCTCATGCGGCTTTTGCGCCGCTCGGTTCGTATCGACAGGTTTCGGCGAAGCGACAGGTTTCGGAGCAAATCGGTGCTGCATGGGGAGGAGGTTCCACGAGTAGCCCTGGAGTTGCGGGCATGGTTACGTTCAAAAGCCTCAAATCTCTCCTGTGAACATTTGTACCAAGGGGCGTGCTTCACCTTGGGGCAAGTGTTTGATCCTTTCTTTTGGCTCCCAAATTATGTTGAACGGATGCAGAAAGGGTTCAAAGATCTCACAATCCACATCAGTCCACTCCCACCCCTATGCATTTGACCTCTCTTACTCTTACCCCCTTGGGAAGGTGATTGAGAGATCATGTTCCTCCACCTTTCCAAAAGGATTCCACCCTTGGAAGTGTCATTCGGGAGAACCACCACGTCGTGAACTCCTCAGGTCTCATCCGCGACATCCCACCGCTACACACCTTGGCCGTGGGGATCCTGGAGTCGCTACAGGCGGAAGATGGAAGAGACCACATGGGGCAATGGAGGAAAAAGCATCCGCTGCGCATGTCAGATGGCATAGGCTTTTTGAAGTGATGTTTATTCATTTTTAGAGATGATGATCCAATCTGATCACCGTCACCGTAGTACCTGGTTTGTTTCAAGGGTGTTCGTGGCATGGCGGACCAGAATGGCTTGCGGGGCTTCAACTCGTTCAACGACCACCCCTGGGGCGCCGGGCGCAGCGACCGGAAAAAAAAACAAGTGGATCTATGGTGGGTCTTGTCGTAGTCATGGGGGTTCCACCATTCTGGGAGCAGTTCATCTACAGTCTACAGGATCTGAAATCTAGACGATGAAAACGACATCTGGGGCTTCAACTGAGTTTCTTCCGTGGCCTGTGGAGATGCCAACATCTTAGGGTTTCCCCGGACCCGGAGCTCTTCAACGTAAATCTCCACATGTACGAGAAACTCGCTTTGCTTCGTGGAAGTTCATTGGAAAGTCCTCACCCAGCAAAGCCAAGATGGCCCGGACTGCCGAGATGTGTGGATCGAACCTGGCAAATCGTTCGAGAACCGATGATGCCCTGTATTCAAAGAGTTCCTGTCAAAAGGAAGTTCCAGAAACTGGTCGAGACATCCTGTCTCTTCATCAATTGTTCAATTCGATCGAACTCCACTGTTTGAGATAAATATATATATATTATATAATATATATATATATGTCATATTCAATGAGCTTGTGGCTGTCCGCTTCGCTTGGTTTTGTGAGGGCATGACCTGGGTCTTTCTGCTGGCCTTGTTGGTGCTGTACTCCTGCGGCATCATGTGCACTCAACTCATTGGACATCGCCTCCTGGTGGGCGAAGACTGCCCCCAGCGGCTGGGCTTCACCGATCGAAATGGAGGGCGTCCAGACCGGTGCAACCAGACCGGTGCAACATGCTGGGCGACCCTTCCACTGTCAAAGGGGGGTTGAGGCGGGTGGTGTTGGTGTTTTGCAAGTTGGATAGACCGATGCATGAAATAATCAAGGAATCAAGGAAGAGAGGGAGAGAGGTCTTTGGGAAAAGAAACGGCATAACCTTGAGGACGTCCCACCTCACACTGCTGCGATAAACAATATTCTTGGGTAATGGAACTGAATGCTACAGACTGATGGCAAGATTAAATAACTATATGTAATTATTTTGTCAACGATCAATCATCTCCAACTCCTGCAGAGGCTTTTTGTTGGCTGCATGTATACCATTCGCGCCGTAGCAACGGCGCCTTTTGTGCTTACTGTATCTTTCTCTATGATCTTAGATGATTTGGTTAAAACCAGGCAGCGGAGAATCTACCAGGCACATCCCTTCCACGTCACATTGTTAGCCTTCAATACTAGATGCTCGGCCTTACCTCTTTGGATGCTCCAGGTGCTGGAACTAGTTGCTTGTGCTGGGTGAACTCCAACCATAAATGACGAGGCAACCCCTCATGCAGCTGGACGGCTCAGCATGGACCGTCAAGCCCACCAGCTAGTGGAGGAAACATGAGGAAACTAGCTTTCCAGAGTCCATATGATTCATCCATGTCACTGCGGGCTCCGCATGCTCACTCCGCACTCCGCATCCGCATGGCTTGGTCTGAGGGCGGTCGTGGACATTTTCCCACACGTCGGGGAGTCCATGTTTGTGCTGTGCCTTGGCGCCCTCGAAGCCTCCACACCCCATAGGGCCATAGTTTGTCGAGATCAAGGTAGACATTTGATGTAATAGTTGAAGTTTTGGGTGACCTGGGTGAGATGTGGCTCATGTCGTTGGAATAGGCAACTTCCGGTTTCCTTCCTTTGACACCTTCTTGCTGGGAATCAACGTTGAGAACTGCTGGCATGGATTGAAGGATTGATATTGAAAGCATCCATGAAATGAACAAGCTGTATGCCAGTGTATGTTTGTAAAAAAATCCTTGAAGACATGTTGGACCTTAGAAAGTATTTTACACCCATGTGTTCATGATGTTTTGGCAGCAGAGCTGTTGAGCTGCAGGTTCAAGGTGATGAATGCCGATGCACAAGTCTTGGACCCTCTCTTCGAGTACATGCAGATTTCAAAGATGATCACTGCTTGCACCTTGGATGATCATGATAAGCCTCCGCGTCAGAGGGCTTTGGCTCGGCCAGGATCGATTTGGATAGGTCCAGAGCGCCCGGTCTGGACCTGAAGACATGAGACGCTATAGTTGTTAGCCATTATATAATTCTTCCAGGTTGCATGAATGCATATGCGGAAGTATACGCACGGCGCAAGGAAGAGATCTGACATTTCAAGTACTTATTTGTAGAAGACAAGTTTCCTCTACAACCCAGTGGTTCTGGGATTCCATCTTAAGCTGCAGGGGAACAATGATGGTTAGATGGATGGCACTACCTCTTGGGTCTTTGGATTTCATGGTGAGCTCGGGGCCATCTTGTATGAGACAGGGGCGATATGATATGAATCTGTTCGGACTCCAAGCTCGGTTGCATCAACATTATATAATCGTAAAAATCAACAGAGACCCGTAGCCGTAGCCTAAAGCTGGATTGTGGATTCGGATGGATTCAGACTGTTCAAGCATGATTGAACCTTCAGACGAGGCTCCGCATCCAAACACCTGGAAGGGCTGTTTAAGCTTAAATTTGATGGGTTCATTTTTCTTCCAACCTGATCGAGTAGACGGTTCGGCATCGAGGTTGTTTGACAAATGCCCTCCAATGGGTCAAGGATCCTACAGCGGATCCTCAAAGCAAGTTTTAGAAGGAGCCTTCATTTGTCAAGAATCTGGGGGCGCCTCCGTTGTGAATGTTTGGAGGCCAACATGAAAAGGGGCCTCCATGTTTTGTTTGTGCTCACCCATCCGGGCTTCCGCTGAGATTTCATGATCCTCGCCAATTGGGCCATCTTGGCCATTTTAACGGCCGTGGTCAGCGAGAACCTCATCAACGCCTGCGCGCCCCCTGGCACCCAGCCGGGAGGACGGAGGATCGAGGGTGCAGGTGATTGAGAGCTTAAGGTGCAGCTTGATGGACCTCTTGTAAGGACGTGGACTGTGCAACAAAAACATCAATAGCTAGGGACTAAGGAGCTCACCAGACCCGAGTATACCGTGTATATATATATATATATGAACGTTGATGCATTTTTCCTTGCGCCTGAAAACATGTGGGGGTTGCCAATGCCGGCCCATGCAAGATCATTCCTTGGATTCGATCGCGCATGAACAGATGTTGATCGAATTTCTGGAGCAATTTGGCAGCACAATGCCGCACACCAGCTCTTCTGAGCTCAAGCTGCCCGAGCCGCGAGCTTGAGCTGCTTTGAAAAAGCCATGGAGACTGATCCAAGCTTCCGAGAATACCGAGAATACCAAGAGATGGAGGACACCGGGTTGGTGCGGTCGCCGCATGCTGGGGTGTGGCAGGGCCTGGTTTGCTGGAGGCCTCACAACATTTTATTTCCAGAGTCAGAGTCCTGTGTCATATAATCATAGTCTATTTCCAGGACAGAACCCAGGTCCTTAGCAGACATGGCATTTTGCTTTTGAAGGAGCATGATCTCCAGTGTGTTTTGCAGTGCACGCTTCCTTTGCAAGCAGATTTTTTTCCCACTTCACTCTCCATTTGTTATTCTCATGTTCTCAAGTTTCCCGCGAAATCAAGTTCTCACATGGAACTACTTAAGCTGCTTGAGCCAGCCCAGTACGTTCAAACACATCAAAAACCGAGCTTTGATTGTGGCCCCTCAGATGTCACGGGTGGTTGAGCAATTTCGTGCTGCTTCTGCATTTGGAGGAAGGCAATGAGGTGGAGCTTTTGCCGGCTGAGACGCAGAGATTAGGCTTTTGGCAACGCTGCGGAGTGCGCTTGCTTTGCCTTACCTTGCTGTGTTATTTCCTGTGGCTGGGCTGAGCTCCCTCCAAAATCAACATGTCTTCAGAAGACGTGTCCCAAGATTGGAGCTGTCAGGATCACAGCTCTGGGTTATCATGGAGGGGGTGTTCTCCAGATGCCGCATGCCCTCCATTGATGCCTCTATTCCAACACAACTTCTCCCGTGACATGCCACTGCTACGGTCCACCCGAGGCCGATGCTGTCCTTCATCCCTTTGGCCATTTTCGGCGGAGTGCAGCTGCCCAGCCCGTGGGACAGCGGCTACAACCAGGGCACCCCAGTGCAAGTGGCTCCTCCCGCAAAGGACAGGCGACAGGCGACAGGTGCTCTATTGGTTCCTTTCTGTTTTTGGGGATGCGTAGGTCTAGGTCCAAGACACAGTTGTTCTTTGCATGGTAGCCCCTCCTGTGCAAAACTTGTTTGTGTGCTGCCTTGTTTGGGAGAGTTTTGGACCAGCCGTAGCAATCGATCGTGAGTCTTTTGATTTGAGGTGTATCGTTGTATGTTGTATATTTCGGGCCTTTGAGTTGCATCGGAAGCCCACGGAGTCAGGAGATGCCGAGCGGGAGATGGTACTGGAATCTTCCCTTGGCCTCAATGGTCTTGATCTTTTTTCCCTTGACAGAGACTTGGCTGAAGTGCTCTTGCGGGGTGTTTGCCAGTTGTTTGGCCTATCGAGAGTTCACTATCGTTGATCCAGATCACATGTGACCCAAGCAGATCCATGTGACCCAAGCAGATCGTCAGGATTCACCAAGCGGATCGTCAGGGAACCCTATTTAGTAAGCCAGCTTCCGCAGTCATGTGAGACGGCCTACATGGTTCAACGCCCACTTGGTCACACAGTTACACCGCCGGGGAATCCGGTCTTCACGGGCGCCCGTGGCGTGTCACGGCCAAGTCCGCTGCAGTTGCGGTCTCCGTCCAGTTTCCGCTCATTTTATGTCATGTCCATTTCCATTTGCGAACCTTCTGTAGCCGGAGCTATGGTTATATATGTTGTCATTCAACAGGTTTCAAAAGAATCCTTTCCTTCACAAAAGCCTCAGTGTGATGTAACGTTCTTTTTGCCTGTCCACAAAGAACACATAGTTCATTTGACCAAGCTTCAAGGTCGCCAGAGGTCCTGCTTTGATGCCTAGGTCGTCGCGATCTTGTATCATTTGAAGATGAGGGCCGTGCGCCGGCAACAGATGATTGACAGCCTCCTCAGTGCTGAATGCGTCTGAGGAGGTTTACTGGGGCATTCTTTCCCACCCAAAAGTACCAGGCCAAGATACAATTCGTGCTACTGCAAAATTAAAAGCAACACAAAAGGATGCGGTGGAGTGCCCTATGAATGATTGATTTGAAGTGACTAACTTTACAGATGAGCAGTGTGCAAGTCGCACAACTGAACCCCATGTTCTTTAAGTTAACTAGCATAGACAATCTCAACAAAGATTTGACATTAAAATCGTCACAATTCAACTAAATGCCTAGAGATAGGGCTGAACCATGATCACCTGACACAAGTACTCCTTGCTGAACCCCGGCGTCCTGTCGCCGCTGGGCCTGAACGGCCGATCGTCTCACCCAACCCAACGGCTCAACGACAACAGCACAGTTCGGCACGGGCCAGCGGGTGGCAACATTAAAACGTGCTCAGATTGTGCCGATTCCGCGACTGAACGTGTTTCTTTAATGTTCTTTCGATTCTGTTTTTCACAGCATTATGGAAGGTCCAAGGCCATACTTCTTCGTCATTGGTCGGCCAATTTTGACCATATGAATCAATATGTAACTATGAGTTCACCATGGCTTCTGCCTCCCCAAGCAGAAGGCATCCTTTCGCATTTTGAGGTCTTTGTTCGAGAGGATTTGTCCTTTCATGGGCCAAGCCTGCCAGCAACCCAACCCAGATCGCCATCGACCGTCCAATTTGTGAGTCCCCAGGCAGCATCGGAAGGAGCAGGAAGATGAGAAGCAAATAAGAAACCGGGAGAAACTGACGCAGTGCTTCGGCTCCAACGACATCGGCCGAGTCTTTGGGTCATAGAGTTATGATGAGTTATGCCAGTTATGCTTTCCAGGTAGTGCAACATGTTCATTCTCAACAGCATCCTGAGTGGCTCATGCTTGTTCATGAATTGAACATCCATGTTGATCTCTCACGGGAAAAGCGGGGTGACAGGTCCCATCCGAACATCTTTGCACTCTTTCAGGCCGGTCTCGAGGGCAACCCAACGCCCCAGCAAAACCAGATTTACAACCACTCCCCATCCTTACAAGTTCCCCAAGCTGTGGATTTCCACATGGAAGCACGCATGGCCCGCTGTCTTCCAGGTCTTCAAAATCCACGGGCTCGGCCAAAACCATCGCGAGAGTTTACTGCATTCTCGAAGGCTAACCTTTGCAAGTGAATTTGGTGGGCAAAATCCGTGTTTCTTCTCAGTCAGGCCCAGCTTCCTGTCAAACGGTCTACTATAGATTCATGTAGATTCTAATGTTGACTCTTGATTTATAAACTCCCCCCCCCCCCCTCAACAACCAAGGCCTCCAATATAATATATAAGAAAATCAATCAATTGATAATTAAATAAGGAATCCTTAGCTAGCTACCTCTGGAGCTACTCTGGCAATATGAAAATAAAAGGAATTAAGAAACCTAACTTTGAAGACATCTGGAATATTAATTAGAATAAAAGGGAATGAATCAATGGACAAAGAACAAAGAACAAAGAACTAACTTAAAGAATAAGGGGTTTTATAAAGAATACTTTTGAATAAGGGATTTTATAAAGAAAGTGCGCACTGACTTCTGGAAACTTTTGGAAAGCTTGACAACTAAAGAGCTTAGGAAAAGTAA